CTAGAAAATGAATTGAATCTAGGGAGTTGTGGAATCCCTGTCAGTAAGAAACACAGGTCATAACCTGGGGCTTGCAATTTGCTTCCAAAGCAGGGGAGGGGAGTCTTGGGGGTCTGAGTCCTCACCCTGTAGGATTTCCAAGTAGATAATGTCAGAATTGAACTGGATCAGAGAACACCTACAATCTAGAGAATTGATTGTATGGATGGTGGTGAGGAGAAATCCTCACACTTTTTAATGACCAGAGGCCACAGGAGTCTTCTGTGCTCTGTTTGAGTGCAAGAGAAGCCTATTTCATATCCTCTATATTGTCAGAGGAATCGCTATGGTTTAGATTTGAAATGTTCCCCATGACTTATGTGCTGAAGGCTTGGTTGCCAGATGATGGACTTTTGGGAAATGATTGACTTATGAGGGCCAAAACTCCACCAAGTTGATTGGCTGACTAATGAGATTATAATTTGATGGTGTTATTGGGAGAGAATGGAAACAAGAGGTGGGGGCTGGTTGAAGGGAGTTATCTTGGGGACTAGATCTGGTCCCCAGTCCTTTCCTCTGGCTCTGCCTTTTCCTCTCTGTCTCCTCGCTGCCATGAGGTAAGCAGATTTTCCCTGCTATGCTCCTCCACAGGGTGCTTCTGCCTCACCACAGGCCTAAAAGCAATGAAGCTGGCCAGCCATGGGCTGAAACCTCTGAAACCATGAATAAATCTTTCCTCCTTTGTTTTTCTCAGGTAGTTGATAACAAAGTTGAAAAGCTGACTAACACAGGCACCAAGGGTGTTTTTGTTTGTCACTTTGTTTTGGAAGGGGAAGACTATAGTATACTGATGGAATAATCCAGTGATGATTCTTGGTTCAGCAGACAGATGAGACCTTGAGATAGTAAATGGATGTAGAATCCAGGGCACAAAAGAGGGACTTGTTTTTAATAAGAGCAAAGATACCTTTATTGTAATAGGACTAAGAACAGAACACAGACACTTGAAGGAAGTTTATCTGGTAGCAGGATAGTATGTTGGAGGTAACAAGTAAGTTTACTCTTGAAAGTTTCTTTTTTCTCAGTGGAGTGTAAATGAGGTGACCAGTGGAGAGGAAGAGGGGCTGTATGGGAGACACTAAAGTCTTAGAGAGAGGGGGGGAGAATATGAAATAGACATCTCTGGGTGAGACACTAGGGAAACTTGGATTGAAGGTTTGTGGTCATTTGTTTAAAATACAGTAAGTCACTTACCCTCTCTCACTTCTTCATTCGCTACTGTGGTCCAGTGAGATAGAAGGCTAGGAACTGTTTAAAAAGACAGTATCTATCTATCTATCTATCTATCTATCTATCTATCTATCTATCTATCTATCTATCTATGGATAATGGGAGCTGGGTTTTCTGCTCCTGTTTTTCTGGCCATTTACCCTGTGTCCCTTTCTCATTCTTTTTCTTCTCTTACATGTTGGTGCTCTATAAGCTTCAGTCAATGCTAGATTTTCTTTCTACCTACGTTTTCTCTTTGGATATCTCTCATTCTCATGGCCTCAATTAATCTCTATGCACATGACACTCCAAACACTGTATCCAATTCTCTCTTCTGAGCTCCAGACTCAGAATCTCTCTACTGGCCATCTCCATTGGAATGTCAAGCTGGTTAAAATCCAACATGTCAAAAATTGAACTTCATGTTTTCTACCCCAATCTCCTTAAACCTCCTCCTGAAGTCTCTGTGAGCAGAATCCTCATCCACTGGATTAGCAAAGCAGGAACCACAGCATGAGCACGACCTTTGCTGCTTCCTCTACTTCCCTGTCCTGACCTTTTTCAGGCCAATCACATCTCTTGCCAAGCCCCTGAAACCCTCCAGCCTGGCGTTTCTGATTTTGGTTTTGTTTTGCCTGCCCCAACTCTCAAACTTTATTTCATATAACAAACTATGCACATAATGCACACAGTGGAACTTTGTTTCAGTGTAGCCTCAACTTCCAACTCATCAGGTATATATCCTCCAACCTAAGCTCTTGGGAACACTGCTTCATAGTCACCCTTCTCCCTGTCATAATGAAAACTCCTTTCCACTGGACTTCTCCATGGTTTCTTAAACTCCTTCTGGCCCTCATATTTTCTGTGGCCTCTAGCTCTGGTCAACAGGCATCCAACTCTACTCATGTTCTAGGATGCAGATAGACCCAAAAGCTTAGGGTGACTTTGGTGAGAGTTCAGATCCCATAGGAGGTGGACTTTAAAAAGAGAAAACTGGAACTTGCTTATGACAGCTAACAGCTTCTCACTATCCCAAGGACAAATCCAAGTTTTTTTTTTAACATAACCTATTGTACTTCCTTTCTTTCCAGCTTTAGGTCCTTATATTGTCACCAAGAAATTCCTGTTTGCCAAGCTGTTTTCTTGCTTATGGACTTTAGGATATGGAGGCCATCTCTACTAGGAACACACTTTTCATTCCTTCTTCACATACAAGTAGGAATTGATCCTTTGTAGACATCTTTCCCCACAATCCACTCCCACCCCAGCACATCAGTTGTGCCTGCTGCCCTCACCATCCCTTGCCACTCTCTGGTAGCCCTTCCCACCTTGGGTTGAGACTGTCCTTTGCCTGGCTACCTTCCTCTGCTGGTCTGCAGGCTGTCAATGGAAGTTCTCATTTTGCTTCCTTCTTGGCAAAATGCAGACACATTACTTTCAGCATTTGTTCATACATGTTACAACAGCCATTCTATTTTTTTTTTTTTGCTTAAATTCTTTTATTGGTACATTTTAGGTATACAGTATGTTTACATTTATCATTGGGTGCTTGTACCTGTACATGATGTATCTTGGTTCTTATTTTTTCCCCATTACCTGTGTGCCCTTCACACCTCCACCCTTCCCTATTTACATAGACTTCGCTTCCATTTTTTTTTCTTTTCTCATAATTTTTCCTTTCCATTCTTTCCTTTCCCCATCTCCTCCCACCACCTCTAACCCTTTGGACCTTTTCCTATTTCAAAGTATCAATTATTAGTTATTAATCCTTTTAATCCTTATTTACACTTTCAGTTTCTCACACTAGAGAAACTATTCTGTATTTACACATGTGTCCTATTTATTTCACTTAAGAGTATGGCCTCAATATGCATCCATTTAGCTATAAAATGACTCTATAGTTTCTCGTTCTTTATGGCTGAGTAGTACTCCATTTTATAAACAACCCACATCTTCTTTATCCAGTTTCCAGTTGATGGGCACATGGGCTGTTTTCAAGCTTTAGCTATTACAAACTGTGCTGTTATAAACATGGGTGCACGTATATCTCTGTGGTATGATTCTTTTAATTCTTTGGGGAAGATACCCAGCAGGGAAATAGCTGGGTCAAATGGGATCTCTAGTCCTAGTTCTTTGAGGTATCTCCATACTGATTTCCACAGTGGTCACACCAGTCTGCACTCTTATCAACAATGGAGAAGGGTTCCTCTTTCCCCACAGCCCCACCAGCATTTGTTATTGGTTGATTTCTTGATAGCAGCCACTCTTTCTGGGGTGAGGTGAAATCTCAGTGTCGTTTTCATCTGCATCTCTGGAATGACCAGTGATGTTGAACATTTTTTCATGTTTATTTGCTGCTTTTACTTCTTTGTCTGAGAAACATTCTATTTTTTTAAACTAGTTTTTTTTTTTTTCCTAAGCATACCCAGAACTTGCCCCTTATATTTTCCAGAGTTTAGGTTTAGGAAGTGCTAATTTTGAAGGGGCCTTACAGGCCAAAATGGGGAGCCCAGAGGGCTCCTCAAACAGCTTTACAGATTACTCTTAATTTGCATATTGAATGGAGTGGGGAACAGGGTTCCCTGACATCTTAAGGCAAAAGTTTGTCCTAAAACTTTTGAAAATGAGTGGCTTTCTCAAGGTTATCAATACCACACACTTAAATCTTCCTCTGTAGATAGGTGACAGATTTGTGACAGATTTCTACGGTTTTAAAAGGATATGAATATTCAGTTGTGTGCTGTTTTAAATTAGTATGTGATACATAATTATTACTCACCTTGGGGAACTGGTATATCTGCATATCACATCTTAGCCATTTTTTATTTCCTCATCCTCTCCTTACTCTCCAATCTCCTTCTATCCCCATGAACCTGAATCATTCTGAAGAAATTAGAGTACCTTCCTAACTTGCTGAATATTCTTACAGTGTAGCTAAGACTGAATAATCTAATGGGATTTTCTTACACATTCCTCTCTTCAGTTTTAACTGTTTGGAAAAATTATTGTCAGCCATAGATTTCTGCCTTAAAAGCTGGGTTCAAATATAAATAAGCCTGGTATAGCTGATGTTAGGTTTGTCTCTACAAGTCCCCCAAAGCCTCACGCACTTGTAGTAGAGGTGGCTGGATCTAGGGTGTGTGATGCTAGGATTAAGGGTGATGATTACTAAATTAGTTCACTGATCATTCGCCATAGTTCTGGGTGTGGATAATGGGAAGGCCCACCCTGGGTGTGGGTGGCATTATTCAGAGTGGGCAGCCTGGAAGGGATAAAAGGGAGAGGCAGGTTTTTGCTGCTGCTTTGCTACCTTCTGCCCACCATGAATTGTTTCTTCTCTGGGATGTCCCTCTGCCATGGCTCCCTGCCCTGGAGCCAGCCAACTATGAACTTAAACCTCCATAAACTGTGAGCTTCAGTAAACCTTTCCTCCTTTAACTCTGGATGTCAGGTATTTTGCCTCAGCAACAACAAAAGTACCTAAGATAGGAGATAAGGATTTATTTTTTTTTTATCTCATTATGTAGCTCAGGCTGGCCTGCAACTTGTGATCTTCCTGACTCAGCCTCCAGTGTGTTGGAATTACAGGCATGGACCACCATACTCCTAGGTAAAGCATTTTTACAACTTTAAAATTTTACCTATCTAAAACATCTTGCCTTTTAAGTTCATATTGCCCAATTGTTGCTTTTCTCCTCCCCAAAGAAAATAATTGTTGAGTGGGAACAAATCACTGACAAAGAACACACAAATTTTATTATTAATAAAACACTTTATTATAAACTTCTGCAGAATATAAACTGATTTTGTATCAAGACTTTTTGAAACTTTTAAAACTATATGTAACATAAGCTTATCATTATTACAATGTATTCATTTTCCACTTTCCAATCTAGAAAATATACTGCAAGTTAACAAGGGGAAAAAAAATCTGAATTGCTTTATAGAAAAAAAACCAGTGAACATAAAAATACCCAACTCAAAGCTAAAACAAATCTAATCAGGAAATAGATTCTGCAAAGCCTATTAATCCTCCAATTAAAAATAAATTATTTCCCAAGGAAAAATAATCCCACCATCATGGCAATCTGAATAAACCAGAGCCACTCTCCTAGAGGGAAATTATATTAAATGTAAGAAAAATGTAATAATCCTTTCAGAAAATGAGGAAAAGGAATTCCCACATTTGAGAGCAAGCATGCTGAAATACTTTACGTTCACCTGGCCTTTGTGAGAATGAAAGTACCTGTTCATGTAAGTGATGTGAACATGAGTATCATAAAACCAAGCTCCTTAGCTATTTTTTTCAATTTAACCTCAGGAGAACCAACTAAAGAGGTTCAAAATCCAAGGATGGACTGGTCCCAAAGCATTTCTTCCTCTGTTCTTTCTTTGCCTTGCTCCTTTTTCTCTTTTTTACGCTTACGGTGGTCTTCCCTCTGAGAGGCTACATCTCGGCTTTTTTTCTCTTTCCGATGCTTAAGCTTTTCTGTGCTGACCTGGGCAGTTTCAGTTTCTACCTCTGTTTTCCTTCTTTGGATACTCTCATGTTTTTCTAAATCCACTTCCTCAGGACTTCTTTTCCTTTTGTGCTTGGGTCGTTCCTCCTTTGGTTTTTCTTTGCCTTCCTCTGAGTGCCTTCTTCTCTTCTGATGACTGGCTTGATGGGTACCAGTCTTGGATCCCAAGGAGAGGTGCTCAGGACTTCTAGATTCTACATTGGCTGAACCATGATTATATTCTTGCTGACTGAGGTTCAGGGGTGCTGGTTTTTCTGAGAAACAGTCCCTGGGGAACTGACAGTAGCTCAGAGACTCTAGTCTTGGCCTGTTGTCATAATCTGGGAACCACTGAGGTAACCGGTTTTCTGTCTGTGAAATATTATGTGATCTTGGGTAGGTCTGGACGGTTCCAGATGGGAGTCTTTGATCAAACTTTCTATACCTGGGTCTGGAATCAACTTCTTCCCCATACCCACAGCTTTCCAAATAGTCCTCTCTCATCTTTCTGAAACAAGTCTTTGGCTCTAAGCCTCTAGCTTTCTGCACTTTAATATAATCTTCAAGTTCATCTTGAAAAGAGTCATATGACTTTGAATGCTTCATTAGGTTGACATAAAGGGATTCTCTGCAGGGAAGATGGGGAGAAAAGCCTTACTAGATTGTTTTGTTCTAAATATTTCCTTTGCTCTTGAAAAGAGATTCAAAAATAAAGAGGCCAAACAAATTAAAACCTATGTTAGCATAAAGTTAAGTCTTTTGACAACATATGTCAAAAAGTAGCATCAGGATGGTCAAACATCTCCCAGGGGACTCACAAGTAACTGCATCCTTCTCTAAAGTGGGAGGAAGAGGGTAAGAAGGAGCTGACACAAAGGAAAGAAGATGCTGCTGTACAGCTAAGATGTACATGGAGGTTTGAATAAGAACCACACATCTGTAGTGAGTGGCCTGATCTGGATATTTATGTAATTTCTAAAGTACTGACAAAAATTCTTAAAAAGTTCTGATTAATCATATTATTGTATATCGTTTTCTAAGAGAACCACAAAAAAGTAACTTTATCTTTAAAATCTTCAGTTTACTCAAACAAAATAAATAAACTCACTCACCTGACTATAGTACTGTAAGGCTTGTTTCGGACCGGGGATTTAGCTCAGCGGTTCTGCTGCCTGCCTCGCAAGCACAAGGACCCGAGTTTGATCCCCGGTACCAAAAAATAAATAAATAAAAATAAATAAAATTAAAAAAACGATGTTTATAAAATGATTTGGGAATGGTGGAAATTAGAAATTCAGCTCTGAGCTGAAAACTACTCTTAGGTATAGTGTATGAGGGATGTGAAAGACAAAGTTCTGTATCTTCTGTGTAGTGCTTGGATTTCGTTCCACAACTTCTGATTGGTTACAAAGCATGCTAGAACACTTCTGTTTGTTCTCTCAAAGTACTGGTGAGAGGATAAGGGAGAAAATGGAGAGAAAGCTGGAAGAGATAAAACTGACATAGAAAAGTTTCAGAAGATCATAGATGCATCAGAGCTTTTGTCTGCTTGATTCTTTTATAAAAGGGACAGAAGGGAAGCACTCATTATTCCTGATACTCTTTCTTACCCCCACTTTAAATCTTGAATAAATAAATACAAATATAGCAGGAAGTATACTTACTATAATAAACACCTTACACACTTCTGGGGGATATTTTATCTCCAAAAATTAGGAGGCAGCACCAAAACCCATGCAGAAATGATTATTTCTTCCCTTTAACAAAAGCAAGCCTGATACAGAACTCTCTAGTCATTAATGATGAACTATTTTCCTGGAAATCTAAGATGAAAAGGGGTCTAAATGTGGCCTAATTTGATGAACTAGAAAAATTAGCTGATTTTCAACTTAAATAGTACGAAAATTCTGATTAGGATAATAATAAAGTAACAAACACTTGACTAAATATGGGCAAATATTTTAACAGACATGTCAGAAAAGTATATATATAAATGGTTAATAACCACATAAAAAGATGGTGAAGATCATTAGCCATCATGTAAATGATAATTAAAATTACTATGAGTATCACCCCACACTCACTGGAGTGACTGAAATCATGGAGACCAATAATACTAGTATTGGTAAGGATGTGATGCTATGGGAAGGCTCACAGATTGTTGGTAGGAACATAAAATGGTATAAACACTTAAGAAGAAAGCAGCTTGGCAGTTTCATAAGAAGTTACACACACACTTACCAAATGACCTAGTTATACCAATCCTAGGTATTTACCCCAAAGAGAAGAAGATATACACCTAGCCAAAGACTGGTACATGAATGTTCTTAGTAGTTTTATTTATAGTAGCCCCAGAAAGAAAGAAAATACCTCAAATTTCACTTAGTAGGTGAGTGGGTAAACCAAATGGTGGTACAACTACACAATGAAATAAATACTATCAGCGATAAAGAGTGAAAACAATCCCAACTGTACATCAGCTGATAAATGACCAAACAAAATATATAGATATATGGATATATATATATATATATATTTATATAATAGTATACTATTCAGCAGTAAAAAAGTAATGAAGTACTGATACACAGTACAACATGGATGAACCCTGAAGACATTATGCTAAGTGAAAGAAGATAGTCCCTGGGCCGGGGATTTAGCTCAGTGGTTTCACCGCCTGCTGTGCAAGCGCAAGGACCCGAGTTCAATCCCCGGTACCAAAAAGAAAAAAGAAAGAAGATAGTCCCAAAGACCATAGATGGCACAGATATGAATGATGTAAAAGAAACCTTACCTTTGTCAGTCTGAGGACTTGGTGGAGAAATCTGATCATATTTATCTAGTACTTGCTTCAGGTTTTCAGCATGAACTTTCCCCAAATAGTGAGACTGTACAACAATCAGGGAGCTAAAAATCATGATGTAGAGATTACAAAATTTATTTTTGTCTAATACTCTACTCCCATTCACCTAAAATCAAGCATAATCTTGTTATGACGATTTATTCAAAGTTCATAACTACACAACACAGACCAATCATCTCAAAATCACAAAATCCATCTTCCTTTTGCTTCCTATAAATTTGAAAATGAAGCTTTTCATGTGTGTGTGTGTGTGTGTGTGTGTGTGTGTGTGTGTGTACAGTAACTAGTACTTTGGTATCCCAGATATTACAATATCACAGTTAAGAGATCCAATAGCTCGTCCAGGTCTCAGAGTATGAGATGAACACTGTGGGAAAAGATTATTGTAATGTAGTGTACTAAAGACTATTCTTTCTCCAGGATACAGTATACAGGAAAGATGATACAGAATGAGAAGCCACATCATATAAAGGGAAAGAATACTGGATAGGGAGTCTGATCTAATTTACAGGCTTAGATATGTCTGGCACTAGCTAAGGAGACATTTTATCTTTTAACTCTAGCATTCTACAATTCTAAGCCTCTTAAAAAAAGGGAGAAGTTGAGAGTAAGATTGCCTCATAGTATGTTCATAATCTTCAGCTACTCCAAGAGAAGCCTCTGGGCAGGGATCTAATATCTCTTGATTTGTATTAATAGTTTCAAGCTCAAACTTTATAATGTCATTTGTTTTCTTTTTCTTTCTCTCCTCCCTGCCACCCCTATTATACTGGGGATTGAACCAAGGGCTAATAGCCCCAGCCCTTTTTAAATTTAAGACAGAGTCTCACTTAGTCACAAGTTGTCCAGGGTGGTTTTGAACTCATGATCTTCCTGCCTCACCCTTCCATAGGGCTGGGATTATAGTTGTGCACCACCAAGCTTGGCTTCTCTTACATTTTCTCTAAGGATATAGTGGTTTTCTGATATAATGGAAGACATGGGGAAAAGAAAATGAGTTCAAAGTTATAAAGACCTGAGCTTAAATCCTAATACCCCAAATGTAAGTCATTTCTCTTTGCCAGTTTCCTCATCCATTAAAAGGACAATGTGACCCAACACAGGGTTCTTGTAAGGATTAAGTAAGATGACATATAAGATATTTACCTGCTACAGTGAAAAGCTTCAGTAGGACATAATTCCTTCATTTTCAACCCACCTCATAATGTAAAATCTTTTATTATTAAAACTGTAGCACTACTTCACAGATGCCTTTTATATAAAGCACCTGTAAAAGTTCAGTCTTTCTTCATTCAATATAGTATCTACAGAGAAAACAGAGGTAAGACACATCACACTAAACATTCAAGATATTTTCAACTACATAGAATTCTCATATACCATATCAAATCCTCATCTCCTGAGTGCTTACAATACTACAGTAATTGCTTTCTTCTCATTAGAATGGCAATATGAAAACATTCAGTAATATTCTAATATTTAATATGGTACCATATTTTTATTTGGTCCAGAAAATACCATTTTGAAAGATGTTACTGCAGCACTAGCGGTAGAATAAACTATGGAAATGGTCAGGGATACCAACACACAAAGGTTGGCTAAAAAATTCAGTTATGGCATTTGGTTTTAGAGCAAATAATCTCAAAAAATGTTAGGGTTGTTTTTTTTTGGTGGTACTGGGGGTTGACCCAGGATCTTCCAAATGAGCTACATTCCCAGCCCTTTTAAATTTATTTTGAGGCAGGGTTTCACTAAGTTGCTGAGATGCCTGGGCTGGGCTTAGATTTGTAATCCTCCTGTCTCAGCTTCCCAGAGTGCTGGGATGACAGGTGCACTACCACACTCAGCCTGCAGTACATTTTAGGACAGTCACTGATTCTGATGACAGGCAGTCACTTCATACACCTTTAGATTAAACCAACTGCTAAGAGTTGATATTCGAGAATCATTCCTGTATTAAATCTGTACAGACTTTTTTCAATGTCATTATTTCCTAAACAACATAATTTAACATCTATTTGCATAGCACTGTTAGGTATTACAAGTAATCAAGAGATGATCTGATTATGGGAGAATGGATTATATGCAAATATTACCCCATTTTATATAAGAGACTTCAGCATCTTAGATTTTGGTATCTGCAGGAAACTAATCCCCTGTGGATACTGAAAGATGGCTGTACACTACTGTCTTTTGAGCATCACATAGAAGCCACACATGGTTCTCCTTTTCTTGTGGTAGGTAATGTTCTTCTATAGTTGGTACTAATGTGACCCCACGCATTTCACCTAAAAGGCTTAGACAAGCTCCTCAAAGCTATGGTGATATTTATACATCAACTTCAACTCTTTGTATCCTCATAATAATCTATGCCCAAATTACATTTACATTTGAGGTCTACACTTTAATCTAAAGTTCTCAAAAAGCTGGGCATAGTAGCACACACCTGTAAACCCAGCACTTTGGGATGCTGAGGCAGGAAGGTCACATGTTCAAGCTCAGCCTGGGCAATTTAGTGAGCCCGTCTGAAATTAATGTATTTTTTTAAAAAGGGCTGAAGATGTAGCTCAGTGTGTGGGCCCTGTATTCAACCCCAGTATCTGGGGCGGGGGGAGGAAATAAAGTTCCCAAGAGTGGAAGTATATTCATTTTTTTGTCTTGCATGTAGTCCAGGCTGGCCTCAAACTCATGGTGATCCTCCTGCCTTAACCTACAGAGTGCTGGAATTACAGGCATGTGCCTCTCCTACACCTGGCAAATTTGTTTTATAAAAGTTTATGGGTTTGTAAGCAGGAAGCTATGGATTGACTATGTCTCTCAAAGAGCATAATCCTGAATCATAATCCTGAATGCAGCAGTGTTGGGAGGCGGGGCCCATGGGAAATGTTCACTACATGGGTGGCCCCTTCACAGTTGGTTTCATGTCTATGCTGAGGGCCATGCACTTCAACTTTGATCTCTACTGCCATGGGACAATGCAGAAAGGTCCTTGACAGATGCTGGTGCCTTCATTCACAAATTCCCAGCCTCCAGAACAGACTGTGAGGGACAATTTCTTTTCTACATAAATTACCCAGCTGTGGTACTGTTACGGCAACACAAAATGGACTAAGACAAATGCCAATTGGGTAACATCGAAACTATACAGCTGAGTGAGTTGGAACCACATGTAATGCCATGAAGACAAATCCATGATGTATGAATGGAAAAAACAAGATGTAGGACACTAGCTATGTACCTATAAAAAAAAATCCAGTTTTAGTATAAACCCAAAATATACAAGAAAAAATTGCCAGGTGTGGTGGTGCATGTTTGTAATGCCAACACTGGGAGGCTGTCAAGATTACAGCAAGTTTGAGGCCAGCCTGAACTACACAGGGAGACCCTGTCTCAAAAAAACCAAAAAAAATATACAAACCAAAATTAAATATGTATACATGTGTTTCCTGTAAGGAAGGAGCTAGTGTGGCTGGCCTAGGATCCATTTACTTCCTTTCCAGGGAAGGGAGAGGGAAGACAGGTGACATCCAGACCTGAGCCAAGAGCCTCTATGTGCCATGAAGAAGAGACCTCAGCTCTAAAATTCTCTTAGTAAGGTGCCCCTGGCTAAGGGCTGCTGATAGCAATAGACTCCAAATCTACAAGACATAGCTCACGTTACATAAGCTACACATTCCTGTGGTGAAACATGGAGGTAATTCACAATCTACTGTGGGAAGCACTCTTGTTAACTTCACCTAGAAATCTTATTATCCTGGGCCAGAGCTACATATGTGACGTGGGAAAACACTCTACAAGGAGCCATTTTCGTGTACTAGACACTTCTCCACTTCATTTGAGGATCTCAACTGCTGTATACTTGAAATAATTACTAAGCTTTGCTACTGGGTTATATGGCTGATGCATGTGAATTTGATTTGATAATCCAATCGTTGGCTAAGTTTCTACAGAAAAAAAATCTGAAAAGATGTACACTAAACTTAATGTGACCTGGGAAATAGTTGGGGAAACATTTAACATTTGCTCTCTGTACATGTCTGTATTGTTTTAATTTTTGCAAAAAATTTGACTCTGTAGTTAAAAACTCCATAGCTGCCAGGCATGGTGGCACAAGCCTGCAATCGTAGCACTCAGGAGGCTGAGGCAGGAGAATTGCCACAAGTTCAAGGCCAGCCTGGGCTACATAGCGAGTTTAAGACCAGCCTGAACTATAGTGAGACCCTGTCTCAAAAAAACCCAAAAAACAAAAAACAACACAACAATCCAAAAACTCCATAAATATTTGTTACACTGGATATCTTCAAACTGAGGTTAAGGTAGTGTACAGATTTAAAGATTTGCTTAAATTGGGTCTGAAAGCACAGATCTGTAATCCAGGCATTTGGGAGGCTGAGACAAGAGGATCGCTGTCAGTTCAAGGCCAGCCTAGACTACAAAGTGATATCCTGTCTCAAAAAAAATTTTTTTGCTTAAAAATACTATGTACTCAAGATAACCGTAAACCAGAAATATTTTAGAAAGAATCTGGTAAATTAAAAAAAAAGTAT